ATGTAATGTTTCCAACCCCAAAGACAAAAAAAGATCAGATTTATAAAGACAGTTATAATAAAAAGCCAATAATAATGGAAACTAAAAAAAAAAAAGAGGTATTCGACTTACTTCTGAACTGACTTATAAGGGAGTTGTTGGTGTAGAACCCCGTAACAAGACAAGGACTAAATGGACTGGTAGAATTAATTCATGGTGCTATAATGTTGTATAATCATGTATTTCACAAGAGCATTTTATAATAATAATAATAATAAAAAGATTAGACCAGTGCTGTACAATAGAATTTTCTGTGATGATGGTGCTATTCTATATCTGTGTCGTCCAATCCAGTAACCACTAAGCCACAGGTAGCTAGTGGCTAAGATGACTGAAAGACTTAATTGAATTTAATTTTAATTACTTTAAATTTAAGCAGCCACATATAACTAGTGGCTACTATACTGGAAATGCAGGGATAGATTAAATCAAATGTTTTTCTGCACAGTTAATTTGAAGATAAATCACTATATCATGAATACTTAATTGATAAAGGCCCGTAAGCATAAAGAGTATACAGGGAATTCAAGACCATGGCACTTTCCATTGCACAAACTGACTCAGTATAAGAGGTATTTCTCCTTCTGTCTAAGACTTAGGCCTCTGATTTTCAACTCTACTCTCTCCAAAATTTTCTTGTTCCAAATAACACCCCCACCCCGTCTCTGTAAGAGAATTTTTTCTTTTGTACAAGTCCCTCTCATTCTAAATATAAAAATATACATTCTGTCATCAATATACTCCTTTTAGCTACTGCCCCTCTTTCCTTGTACAATATTCGCTCATTACTCAGCCTGCTTCCATGGGCCTTCTGCAACACCCTGCCCTGAAGCTGGTTTTTCTGTTGTCTACATGTCAACACTCACTTCTCACGCTTGTATTTTTTTGGCCTAAGACATCTCACTCCCTTTGCATTTGTAATCTCATTCTCTCCTTGTCCTTCCTGTCTTCATGGACAAATCTTCACCGTGTCCTTCTAACTACTGACTAAATAACCTCCACTAGATTATCACACCAACCAAAGACCAAACTCATCACCGTGGAGTCAACTCCAACTCAGCAACTTTATAGGACAGAGTAGAACAGCATCATGGAGTTTCCAAAGCTGTAATCTTTACAGAAGCAGACTGCTACACCTTTTTCCATGAAGCAGCTAGTGGGTTTGAACTGCCAACCTTTTGGTTAGCAGCCAAGCACTTTACCCATTGTGCCACGAGGGCTCCTTCCGACCATCACACAGACACCCCTAATAACATATTTGAAGTTGAAATTGCCCAAAACATATTCCTTTTCAGCTTAGTCAATGGCATCACCAATTACCCATTCAGGCCCAAAATCTTGCATATTCTTCCTTTTGCCTTATCCTCTAGGATCTAATAATCAAGTCCTATCAATTTTTTCTCCTACATGTCTTAAATCCAGCTTCTCCTATTCACTTTCACAGGCCTTTATCATTGTGTACCTAGATGATAACACTAGCCTTCTAACTGGTCTTTCTGGTTTTCATCTTTACCCTGCCCAACAGCTCAACTCTGATCTTCCTAAAATGCTTGCCTGCCTGCTTAAACTCTCCCAGTACATCCCCATTACCTTCTGGTTAAATTCCAGTGATCTGAACTCTGCTGCTTTCTTCACACTTATCTCTTGCTTTTCCACTACATGTACTGTATACCAGAATACACACACTATGTTCTTGTTACCTCTGTGCTTTTTACACATGCCATTACTTCTGGCTGTCTGAACTGGCATCAACATCAACATCTCCACCGTCTGAAGCCAGCTGCTCTTCAAGGTCAGCTTAACTGCTTCTACCTAGAAAAGCTTCCCTGACCACACCCCTCTTCATAATACCCTTTTGCATGTCATATCATTGTCCTTAGAACAAGAAGTCTCCTTTAAGCAGATGACAGTTTTGTTGGCATGTTCTAGGAATGGTCTTAATAAACCTCTAACTCTTCTATTTCCTGTCAGAAAAAACTTACTCAGATAAATTATATTTTAGTGTAATTTCTCAAAGTTTTAACTGGTTTATAGCCAGTCTTGTTTAGCATTAACCAAACCATTTATTACAAATGCTTTAGTCACAAGTGTTCAAGGTTGAGGCAGGCATTAGTTAACATTTACTTACAAAATGTTCAAACTCACTGCTGCAATGCTTTCTACACTAGAATGTTTAGGGACTTGGTTATTCTTCTGACCATGGGTTAAACTACAACTTAATTTTTATTTTTTTAAAGGAAAATCTTCACTCCTGTGATGGTAATATTTCTTCTGAAACATAAATGGGATATCCTTCTATACAGGAACATTTTCTAGTTGCCTCCTCAGGCTTTATAAAGAAACACAGTAGCCCAGCCACCCTCCACTAAAGTGATTATATATTAATTGACAATAGAATATCTGTATCCTGTTGCAAGCCAAAAAGGCATAGACCACAGTGAATAAGAGTAGAAGTCCTAGGGTAAAACTATTACGGTTTGAATTTTAGCTGGCTGACTGTAGGCAGGTTTCTTAGACTCTCTGGACCTCAGCGCCTTAGTTACCTAGTGCTACTACAACTGAAATAGCACAAATGGATGGCTTTTACAAACAAATTTATGCTCTCAGTTTAGGAGGCTAGAAATCTAAATTCAGGCAGCTTTAGGGGAAGGCTTTCTCTCTCTGCTGGCTCTTGGGGAAGGGCCTTGTTTCCTTTCTGTATCTGTGGGCCTGGTGTTCCTTGGAGATCTCCATGTGTCTTAACATCAATCTTTCCCTGGGTCTCGGAGGTTCACAGCACAGGGACCTGGATCCAAAGGATGCACTGCACTTCCAGCTCTTCTTTCTTGGTGGTACTGAGGTCTCTCTTTCTCTGCTCACTTCTCCTTTTTTCTTTTGTAAGATAAAAGATGCAGGCCACAACCTGGGGAAATTCCCCTTATAATGGAGCAGGGCTCTGACCTGAGAAAGGATGTTGCATCCCACCCTAATACACTTACAACTAATTGGCTGATCATATCAGATCACGTCATGGGGGATGATTCTATCATTACATAACGGCCAAACCGCTAAGAAATATATATCTTGGAATATATGTCATATATATATACATATATATATAAAGAGCTCTGGTGGCATACTGCCTAAGGCATTTGACTGCTAACCAGAAGGCTGGCAGTTCAAAGCCACCAGCCACTCCTCAGAAGGAAGGAGGTTGGGCAATACTGCCTTGGAAACCAAGGAGGGGTCGCTATGTCCAAATCCACAGTAGTGGGTTTACATATATATATATACATATATATATATATTGTTATTGTTATGTGCCGTCGAGTTGGACCCGACTCAGCGACCCTTCCTTGGGTTTCCGAGGCAGTTTCACTACGGAAGTAGATTGCCCAACCTTCCTCTTTCCTTCCGAGGAATGGCTGGTGGATTTGAACTGTCAGCCCTCTGGTTAGCAGTCAAGTGCCTTAGGCACTATGCTACCAAAGCTCAGCTCATATATATATATGAGTATAACATGAAAGAAGATTGTGCAATCTATTTCCATAGAGATACCGCCTCAGAAACCCAATGAGGGGTCGCTAAGAATTGGATCCGACTCCACGGCAGTAAGTTTGGTTTTTGAATATGAGAACCAAAAAACACAGAGAATGCCTAGCACCTTACATAATAAGTATTTGCTCTTGAGACTATCATCATCACTGTGAAAAAGCATAATCATAAACTCTCTGTTGTCCAACACTTATCAAAATTTCAGTTATGGAAGACTTCCTGAAATACGTAGGCCATCCATTTTTTCAGATCAGTGGTTCTCAATTCTGGCTTTGCTTCATAATTATCTAGAGAGTTTTTAAAAAATAAAACCCCACAGTTGGGAGTTCCACTGCAATCCTGAGTTCCCAGTCCCGTGGCCTAAGGGAGTCTGAGGTGCAGCAGCTGGGCTCAGAGCCACAGCTTTAGGAGCTCTCTGCAGTAACCGAGCCTTCTACGCACTGTGCTGGCCACTTTACAACTCCTTGTACTGAACTGTGCTTGGAGCCAGGCCACCTGCCTACCTTGGGAAATGTCAGATGTTTACAAGCTCTAACAAAGTCACCTTTGAAGGGAAGAAAGTTCTTTCAGGTCTTAGTGCCCCAAAAAAGTTGTGCTACTATCTTATTAACATTAATCATGTAACAGAGCATTTCACCTGTTTGCATAGGCTCCTCTGAAGTTAAGACTCATCTCTAGCAAGTGAGTAGGACCTTAAGCCCTGTATTTAATAAACTAACTTTATCTTTAGCTTCTTTGTTTTTCTTCTCATATTTTCACTTCACCCGGATTTCCTTATTTTTCTTGTTTTGTAATATAGGTGTCATCTCAAGGGATTTTTTGGAACAAAGGAGGTGATAAGTAAAATTTATTATAGCACAAATAGCCCTGTTGCATAGCTGTTGGTTTACTTCTTCGGTTCCTCAGATTATGGGCTCATGAAAGGCAAGTATCAGGCCATTTCATTCATCTCCTAGCACCTTAGCAAAATAAAATACCTTGCAGGTGCTCAATCAATAACAGTTTTTTGAAGTCTCCTCTCTCCCTGCTGAACCAGTTTTTGTATATTTTAGGCACAAGTTTATTTTAATTAATGAATCCACAAAATAGAATTTCTTGAATATATAGCTGAGGGTCAGCAATGCTAATAATGCTGAGAGTATAGTTTGTTCTCTACTATTTTTTATTGCAAATACAAGGTAGTCTAGTTATAGGATTAAGCTTTTGTGAACTAGTCTAGGAACCTCATCATCATCTACTTCAATGGAAACACAATCAATTTATAAACATACTAATGGTACAAAAACCATTTGCAAGCAGAGGAGACTCAGGACATAGATAAAACAAAATTGTTTACTTCTTATTTGTTAACTGATAAAGTTTTTAATATACCAAGCAGAATTTTAATTACATAGATTTATGGCCCATCCTACCCATATGATTTATACCTGTCATATCAGTGTTTTCCCAATGGCGCCGTTGCTCTGCAAGTTTCTGCATACGTGTTTTAACTGAAGAGGCTACAGTTCCTTCCAATTTTGAGTTCAAGCCTCTCTTTGCATCCAGCTGTGATGATGGCACACCCACAGGATCAGTGACAGCAGCAGATTTTGCAGAAACTGACTCAACCGGTTGTTTATTTTCCAAATTAGAAACTGCTTCTGTAGTGTTGTCAGAACAGCGTTTTTTTGATGGTGACGGTTTTGTACAAGATTTCTCTAGATTACAAAGAACCAAAAAAAGACATTCGAAATTCTGTAATTTCTCACAGTGTTCATGAAAAATTTGCAGCAGGTACATAACAAATTAATTAAACACTGCTAACATGTTTCTTTATCCCTGTCTATGATTTTACTTACAACAATAAATATGTAAAATCCTACTTCTCTCAGTAACTTAGAAATCTGATATGCCAGATTTCTTTTTAAGGAAATATAATTTATGGACTTAAAAAAGCATGAATGGATATAAATTCAAATAATATTCCTAAGACGTACATAAAACACTTTATGTATACATAATATATGTATATGTATGCATAATCTTCTTAAGACAACAAGAAATAAAAATTGCACATATACTAGAGTGAGCAAATGTTCTAAGAAGTTTTAAAGATCATGAAACCCAATTACCTCATTTTAATTTTAAGGTAAGAAAAATCAGGCCCAGAGAAATTAAGTTATCTGCCTAAAGTCATAAGCTAAGTGTAGAAATTAGGTTTTCAGTTGTTTATGGACAGTAACAATTGAGCAAAGGTAGAAAGGCAACTGAGGTTTAGGAAAAAGAACAGAATAATCAACTGAATTATCTGGTCAATACCAAACAAATTCATCAATGCAAAAGTTTAACAACAGTTCACATTTTAATTTTCTATGAACAATAAAATCAGTGAAAATTCCTAAAATAGAAAAGAGCTATCTGAACATAAGGCATATCATTTCTACCCAGGAATGAGTTTCAAAATATCACCTGGAAAATAATATTAAAAATAATAAAAAAAATAAATTTCATGAGGTCAGTTTCACTGGCTGTCCAATCAGGTATTCTTGTTCAGAGAGCACCAGAGTAATATTAGTAGAAAGTCACAGTTGCCTTCATCCACATTAACTTAACTAAATATACATCATGAAACTTTCTAATCTTCCACAACTCATTTACGTTCTAATCATCTTTTGTAACTGTTCATATTATAACACGTAGTACCACCTGGAAATACAAAATTGTTCCAGTTTACAGTTCTTTTAAAAACAGTAAATACTTCCTTTTAAGCATCAAAACAATTCCAGCTACTAGTTTGAACAAGCCTGTGTCATAGTGAAAATGCGTGAAGGTCCAGGACTAGAGCCAGGCCTCTGTTTTCCTGGGTGAATACTATACGTGTAATGTATTTCCTTCTCTCCTTCAATATGTACAAATATATGAAAATATGTTCTCTTTTTATGGTTAGCTCCCAAAATAATTGTGAGCCAACCCCATGACCTTTCCTTGCTTTTTTGAAATAATGGTTTCACCTCTATCATTTTTTTTCTATATGGAAGTATTTTAAAGTTATATGAAAAAGAGTATTATCTCCAGACTATTCTACACCCCAGGAAAACATTAAAGCAGCTAGATGACACTGGCTGAGATGCCAGGATTTAGGAAAGAATAAGAGAAGATTCCAGGGAAGCTTGCTTGAGTCTGTTTTTTTGGGCAGGTGTGTGTGTGTTTTTGTTTAATTCCACCAGTTCTAAAGATTGACAACCTAAACTTCACCTCAAGATCTAAAGAGTTGGTCCAGTAGAAAGAGGATGAAAAGGTTCATTAAATTTCAAGCACTCGCAAGGTGATCTGTCCATGCCAGAAACACCTTCTGAACTTGGCGGTCAGCTATTGCTGCACACATCACTGCCAGTACAAGAGTTACCCTGCTCCTTTATTCCTCTTCCCTTGGGGATTTTAAAGATAAAATCTGAAAATAAAGTTTCCTCAATCAATTCATTTGAACTATCTACTAGAAGAAACTCTATCCTGGACAGATAGGCATTAAGCCACTGCTATCGAGTCAATTCTGACTCACAGTGACCCTTTAGGACAGAGTAGAAATGCCCCATAGGGTTTCCAAAGCTATATCTTTATAGAAGCAGACAGCCTCATCTTTCTCCCATGGAGCAGCTAGTAGGTTCGAACGGCTGAGCTTTTGGTTAGTAGCTGAATTCCTTAACCACTGTGCCACCAGAGCACCTTAGACAGGCCTAATATAATATACCCCAAACCCACTGTTGTCAGGTCAATTCCAACTCAGAGAGACCCTATAGGACTGGGTCAAACTTCCCCATAGGTTTCCAAGGCCATATGCAGAAGCAGATTGCCATATCTTTCTCCTGCAGAGCAGCTGATGGATTCAAACAGCTGACTTTTGGTTCACAATTAAATACTTTAGAAACACCACCACCAGGCTCCTTTTTAATATAAACTCACTGCCTTCAAGTTGATCTGACTCATAGCAACCCTTTAGGACAAAGCTGCCCGATAGGGTTTCTAAGTCTAAATCTTTATAGAAGCAGACTGCCTCATCTTTCTGCTGCAGAGTGGCTGGTGGGTTCAAACTGTCAATTTGAAGGGTGAATGCTTTAACGATTGTACCACCAGAGTTCCTTTTAGTATAATACAATAACCCTGAAATAGAATAGAAGGCTGACCTTTCCTCCAGAGGCTGCCACATTTGTCTCCCAGAGATCTAGGTTTTCCTGTATGTCTAACAAAATGTGGCATCTCAAAAAAATTTTTTTTAACAAAGCAGATTTTACTTTCCCCCACAAGGTCTTTTACCTTCACCACCAGATAGGGGTGGCTGGTTGCTTGCTTCTGAAAGCGGCTCTCGAATTCTCTTAGCATGAGTCATAGACCTTGCTGCAGGTGTGGGCCTCTCATGAGTCACAGACCTCGCTGTAGGCGTTGGCCTCGCCGCCATTTTCTTCTGAAGATTCTCTCGTCTGGCACGTGTTCGTTCAAGTAATTTCTACATACATCAGAGTGTTAAAACACAAATTTAGTCAGAGATTCGTATAATTTCAAATATCATCTAAAATCACTAATCACGTAGGATAAAGAGTCAAATACATGTTGAAAGTGAAATTCCTAGAAATTAAACTAAGATACATCAAATGAGCATGGTAATACAAAAATTATTACAGATAGAATATGAACATTCAAGGTGGAATAAAATGTGTAAACTTAGCTGTAGAAAATTTAAAATGGTCAGAAGCAAAGATTTACATACACAATACTGCGTTATCATTGATAACAAACATTAATCTATGGGTGGATACATAGGTAGACAGGTTGAATGATCAGGTATGTCTAGGCAAAAGGGAATATATGTGCTGTAAGAATGTCCATATGTATAGAAAGCAGACAAGGGGCAAACTTATGATAACTTCTTAGACACAGCCAACCACCCTGAGGAAGTGAGTAGCTGGACCTGTGGGCTTAGGACCATGGTTGCAGGAGACATCAAGCTCAATTGGCATAACACAGTACACATAAACATTGTTCTACATCCTACTTTGGTGAGTAGCAACTGAGTTCTTAAAAGCTTGCAAGTGGCCATATAGATACAACAATGAGTCTCTCCTAGTCAGAGCAAAGAAGAATGAAGAAAACCAAAGACACACAGAACCAATTAGTCCAAGGGACTAGTGGACTACGCAAACCTCAGCCTGTATGACCATGAGACCAGAAGAACTAGATGATGCCCAGCTACCATTGTCAACTGCTTAGAAATGGTCAGTGTAGGAGATCCTGGATGGAGGGGGAGAGAAAGGTGGAACAAAACTCAAAATCATAAAAAAATAAATAAATAATTAAAAAGACCAGGTTTACTGGTATGACAGAATCTGATGAGATCCCCGAGACTATGGCCCCTAGTTACCCACCCTTTGGGTCTGGTAATGAACTCACTCCCACAGCTTCCAGCCAAACAACAGATAGGCACATAGGGTAAACATTTACATCAGGTAGATATACTCATTAGAATGACCAATTGTGGGAGAACAGAAGGGTAATATTTGGGCAGGGAGATAGCTCAAGGCAGGAATGCATAGGAAAGAAGGACACAGGGAAGAGGTAACAACAGGAGAGAAGTAGGAAGAAAGCTGTTACATTGTGGGGAATGGTAGTCAATGTCATGAAACAAAATACGTATGAACTACTGTATAGAAAAAGAATTTGCTCTGTACAATTTAACTCAAATCACAATAAAAATTAAAAAAAAGAAATTAAGGCAAGATACATCAAATGAGCATGCTAAAGTAAAAATTATTACATATAGAATATGAACATTCAAGGTAGAATAAAATGCATACAATTAGTTGTAGAAAATTTACAATGGCCAGAAGTCCTTGCTGCTTCGCCATTAAGAGATGGAACCTATTTGCCCACCTCTGAATACAGATTAGGCTTTTGATTTGCTTTGACCAATGAAATGTGGCAGACATGAAACTCAGTGACTTCCAATCCTATACCTCAAGAGATCTTGCTGCTTCTGCTCTTTCCCTCTTAGAATGCTGCCACCATGAAAAGAAGCCCAAGTTAACCTCCTAAGCCATCTGGCAGCAGCAGCAGCAAGCACCAGGTATGTGAATAAAGCCCTCATAGGCAATCCAGCCCCAGACAATCCATGAAGTCACTGAAGATTCCTCCATGACCCCAAAGACGACCATGAGAAAAGTTAAAAAAAAAAAAAAAGAGTAAAAAGAGAACCTACAGACTTGGAAAAAAATTGGCAACAATATATTTGACAAGGGCCTAATATCTAAAATACATAGAAAATTTCAACACCTCAACAACACAAAAACAGAAAACAAATGTTGGGGATTTTGTAGGGAGACTGGAACTCTTATACACTCCTGGTAGGATTGTAAAATGGTATAATCACTATGGAAAACAATATGCCACTTCATCAAAAAGCTAGAAATAGAAATACTTTATGATCTAGCACTCCCACTCTTAGGTAAATATCCTAGAGATATTAACAGTAGTGACACAAATAGACATACGCACACTCATGTTCACTGTAGCATTATTCATAACAGCCAAAGGATGGAAACAACCTAAGTGTCCATTAGCAGACAAACAGATAAACAGAACGCATTATTCACACGTAGGATGGAATAATATGCAATAATAAAGAATAATGGTGAGTCCGTGAAACATTTTCTAACATCGATGAATTTGGAGGACATTATGCTGAAGGAAATTAATCAAACACAAAAGGACAAATATTGTATGATATCACTTTTATGGGAGCTCTGGTGGCCTAGTACCTAAGGCATCTGACCACTAAACCACAAGGCTGGTGGTTCAAACCCATCAGCCACTCCTCAGAAGAAAGGCTGGGCAATCTACTTCCGTAGTGACACCACCTCAGAAACCCAACAAGGGGTCGCTAGGAGTGGGCTCCAACTCAACAGCAGTGAGTTAGTATCACTTTTATAAAATGTTAAGAACGAAACATACAAAACAAAGTTCTTTGATGGAGGGAGAATCACTTACTAGATTGTAGACACATGTTAAGTCTGGTGATGGAAAAAGAAAACACAATATGGAGGAAGTCAGCACAACATCACCAAGGTAAATGGAGACAGTGAAAGGCACAGAAGAACAAAGGACAACTATGGTAAACGTTATACACGGTTTTGCAACAACAGTAATAATAAGCAAAAAAATGTGTGGTACATATGTAGATATTTATGCTATATGGGTTTGGGAAGGCATATAGGAATACATGCACATGCATACATGGGTATATTTGTGGGTATATGTATATACACATTTTATGTGCCACATACATATTTATGTATACAATAAAGCACATAGAGAGCACAGTTATGGATACTTCCTAGACATACCCAAACACCTCGTGTGATTGATTTACTGCGGTTGAATGCTCAAGATCATAGTCTCATGGGACAACTAGGTCAATTAGAAGAACTTAGTTCATAATGATAACATTCTACATCCTAGTTTGGTGAGTAGCATCTGGGGTCTTAAAAGCTTGCAAGCAGCTATCTAAGATCCAACTATTGGTCTCCTCCCATCTGGAGCAAAGAAGAGTGAAGGAAACCAAAGAGTAAAGAAAGAAGAAATAAGTCCATAGGACTAACGGCCTATACAAACCACAGTCCCTTATAGCCTAAGACCAGAAGAACTAGAAGGTACCTGCCTACCACTACTGACAGTTCTGACCAAAGACACAATAGAAAGTCCTGGTAAGAATGAGAGAAAAATGCAAGAAAAAAACTCAAATTCAAAAAAGGTCAGATTTACTGGACTGATAGAGACCAGAAGAACCCCTAAGACTATCCCCCTAAGATACCCTTTTAACCTGGAACTGAAACCCCTCCCAGAAGTCACCTTTCAGCCAAATAACAGATTGGCTTTTAAAATAAACAATAACACCCATGAGTAATATGCTCCTTTAAACAATCAACTATATGAGACCAAATGAGATGAGAAGGCAATGAGGGGGAGGGAAACTGGATGGATAAAAACGGGAAGGCAAGGTGGAAATGGTTAGAGTGCTGACACATTACAGGGATTGTAACCAATGTCACAGAACAATATTTATATATGCTGTTGAATGAGAATCTATCTGTTGTGTTAACCTTCACCTAAAACACAATGAAATATTAAAAAGAAAAAAAAAATTGAACATAGAACTATCATATGACTCAGCAATTCCACTCCTAGGTATATATCTAGAAGAAATGAAGGCAGAAATGCAAACAAACCTGTACACCAATGTTCACTGCAGCACTGTTCACAACAGTCAAAAGGGGAAATAATAGAAATATCCAGCAATAAATGAATGGATAAACAAAAGGTAGTATATAAGTATATAGATAGATAGATAGATAGATAGATATACACAATGGAATATTACTCAGCCATAAAGAGAAATGAAGTCATGATTGATGCATGCCACAACATGAATGAACCTTGAGAAATCATGCTGAGGGAAATAAATCGGTAGCAGAAAGACATACTATGTGATTTCACTTACATGAAATAAGCAAATATATAGAAATCAAAGATTATAGTGGTTACCACCGGTGGGAAAAAGGAGGAAAGGAGGAATTTTGGCTTATGAAGAAGCACTGAGTTTACGTTAACAGTAGTAAAAAATTTGGAAAAGGATAGTATGATTCATTGCAGAATATAATCAGTGTCATTAAATTACGCATGTAGAAATTGTTCAATTGGTGTATGTTTTGCTGCATGTATTTTCACCACAAAAATAAAAATTAAAAAAAAAAACTAACATGGCCACTAAGATATGGGACAGTGGTATATAGTAACTACTATAATAGTCGCTTAAAAGCATAAGACATTTCCTAAAAGATAAATAAAAATTAACAATCTTTGTTTGATATAATTAAATATCAAAATAAAATATTTTTAAGTTGAAATTTTAGCTATTCCCTAAAATCATGAATACTCCTCTTTTCTTACCCTAAGTCAACTGATCTTCCCATTTGAATTTTTGTGATAACACAAACATCAAACCAAAAACCAAACCCACTGTCGTGGAATCGCTTCAGACTTAGAGATCCTATAGGACAGAGTAGAACTGCTGAAGCAGACTACCACATCTTTTTCAGATGGAGCAACCTGTGGGTTTGAACCACAGACCTTTTGGTTAGCAGGTCAACTGCTTCAATCACTGTACCACAAGGGCTACTTAACTCAAGACCTGTAATTCACTCTCTTTCAAATGTACACAACTAAAGGAGGGATGCAGATGACTGGGAGTTTATACCCTCCCTGCAAACACAGATACGTGCAGGCTGAGGAAAGAGTCCTGGTGACCCAGCGGTTAAGTGTTCAACAGCTAA